CTTAAAATATTCTTCCACTTAAAATATATGTCAGTTGTATTTTGTAACAGATGTTCTTGAGCTGGTTCAGAGGCTGTGAGTGCGAACATGTTGATTTTTCAGTTGGAGGTTTATAGCTGTCAAGTTAACAAACACAGTTATTCTATTTATCTTAAGTAATTTCCCCATGGGATTATTAAAGTATGTCTGATTCTGATTCTGATAATTGTAACATTTGACATTTTTTCTTCTCTTTATCTTCCTTTGGGTGATGGAGTCGACATGCAAACTTGACAGAACAAAATGAGTTTTTTAGAGTTTAAAATAAGATCTGTGTCATTTTCCAAAAGGAGATTTCTAAAGTTCTAGAGAATTTCTGTCATACAGTTATAATTTAATTATTTAGTTATAATTTAATTTAATTTTGTTTGTAATGGTTTTAAGAGTGAACACACAGGATGTTTGGGGACGCCACACCAATCTCTCATAAGAAAATGAAAAACTAAAAAGCTGGATTTAAAGATTGTACTTTACATTGTTCATGTTAGAGGCCTGAAGCATGAGTGAGCAGTGAACAGATATTGTGTCCTGTTTTGTAGGAAAAGCAGAGACTGGAGACGTTAGTTGTGATGGTTCAGCAGGCTGTTCTGTCTTTATTAAACAGAATTTATCTCTTATCTTCATTTACACAAACTCTGTCTCTTATTCACACTATCATCATTATTATAACTCATTTACATTTCACCTTACAACACAAGGGTCCATACTGAACTGCTTGAATAACATTTACAATTCATAAATGTACAAATCAGCTGTTAAGTTAAACTTAATATGCACTATGACTCACCATCAGCACAATATTACTGCAACCCATTTACAGTATTATCATGACCTGAATTAGCAACTAGAGGTACACATGTCAAGGAACCTGAATGACAGAAAATAAAATACATTTCTATCTTGTTAAACTGTTACACAGGAGCTTTGTTGCAGTGGGCAGGAAAAGTTTCTCTCCTGATCAAACCAACTATTTTATCTGTCAAACTTTGTCACAATAACATGAGGAAGGCTTTTAAAGTCCTTGGAAATGTGTTGTAATGAGATAACACACACTAACAACCTGTTGTGTCCAGGAAAAGCAGAGACAGGAGACATTAGTTGTGATCTTTAGGCTGTTCTCTGTCTGAGCAGCAGAAGCCTCACAGAGCCCGAATACAACTAGTGCTCACCAAGGTAGACACTGCCTCTTGTGGTGACACTGAGCAATTACACCTTCAACAATACAACTCAACCCCCTGTATCAATACATCCAAATCTGTCCTTTTCCACAGGTAAATACATAAAGTAACTGAACAGTTGTGACCATACATGTGTAGGTGTCACATTTACAGAACATAAGACATTTTATCTGATTTGGCTTTAAAGGTTTAAAGGTCCAGTGTGTAACATTCTTGACAGGGCTGTTATTGTTTTTTTGCACATCTCATGGCCACCGTAGTTTCTCCTATACACTTGGAAGTGGAGGGCGAAGTGAGTGAGTGGTGATCTGCAGTCTTCAGGTATGAGAGAGAGTGATGAGAATGATTGTTTCATGTCAAACACAGTGAGATAAGATTATCTGAACCACTGATGTGAAAAGCAAATGTTCATCAAAACAGCAAATGTCAAACTGTTCAAATCCATAAAGTAAATATAAAGTGTGTCTTTCATAATAATATATTTTCTAATATGTGTCATTACAGACTTTCTGACTGTGGACTCTCAGAGACTCACTGTGAAGTTGTGGCCTCAGCTCTGAAGTCCAACCCCTCCCATCTGAGACGTCTGTACCTGAGTAAGAACAAGCTGCAGGATTCAGGAGTGAAGACACTGTCTGCTGGACTGCAGAGTCCAAACTGTAGACTGGAGACTCTGAGGTCAGTTCACTGACTGTAGTGCATGCAGTTTGTGTCTTTCCAAATGACTCAACAGTTGGTACAGTAACAAAAAGTATAGAAATTAAATGTTTGTAATGGGAGAACTAGAGACAGATTAAGTATCAATATTAATTTATCTCAAAACCATTTGAATGAAAGGTTTAACCAAAACAAACAATTTACACAAAAACTTCTCAAAACCCACTAAGGACCCAACACATGAACCGATCAGCACCCATCCACAGCACTACAAGTGTCTTTCAATGTAGATCCCAGCACAGGGAAGCAGCTATAACAGTACATTACACAAAGTCTCCGCTGTCATGAAACAAAACCATTAATACTTCAGCGTTTACGTTGAATATAGATGTTAAAAACAACTTCTAGCAACACAACACTATCCGGTGGTTTGGCCCACTGGCCTCGTCTGCTTCCATCGAGGCAGCTTTAAAGCAATCAGCATGATAGTTAAACTACTGCAGGTGTGCCTGACCGCTTGGAGGGGAGGGCGCCACCTGGAACAGGACACAGGACAGAGCAGAGGCAAAAACACACATACCTAACACCCCCTCCCATAAGTGCAAACTATTAGTTTGCTAACAGGAAAAAGTACTACAACACAGAATACACTTACCCTCCGATAAATAGGGACAGGGCATCACCACATTATCAGCCCCCTTCTTGTGCATTACCTCTAGGTTGTATCCTTGCTTGCTTAAGAGACAGCCGACAACGGGAGCTCCAAGGATTACTGCTGGATACACCTAAACTATTTTCCAAATGGTAGTTAGCTTCTTTTCTCATTAGCTCTCTTTTTGCTAAAGTACAACAGTAAGCTGCGGTATCAACTTCAATGTGATGTTTGAACATGTTTGAACTATATGGCACGCCATTGAACAGAGACGGACCAAGTGTTGGACAGCCTACCGCACCACTGACCATTACCAAGTACAAGCAAACTGTTGTCAGACAAAGATTCCACACAAACAAAAGAAGTAGATGTCTCGCAGGGGGCAGCAGTCTCCGGAGTTTTCTGCTCCCCCTGGACAGTTTCTCAACAGCAGGAATAGGGTGCAAAGGGGCTGGAGGAACTCTATGTGGCCTCCCCACCACTCGGCAGGTGCTGCAGGCAAAACACTTCCTTAACGATGTTTCACCTGACTGGGAGCTGACCAGTGCCTCACGGGTCAGTGGCACTGGCAGCACATGAGCAGCAACAGGTTCTGCCACACCTTCACACCTTTCTGGTTCTGTAGTGCAGTTCTCCAATTCACCAATAGGTGGCAACCTGTCCTCAGACAAGGCAGAAACAAAAACAGATTTAGACAGAGATAAACATCCATAGCGCTAACTGAAGACACATCAGGGCGTCGTTGGACCACATCATCATGTCTAGACTCTGCAATAGGGATGTCAACAACTTCAGGTGATGGATATACCTTCCCCCCAGCTATGCCGTTACCCATAATAAAGTCTATACCATCGATGGGGAACGAGGAACGCACAGCTACCGGGAAGAAACCAGTTTTAAGGTTAGACTGAATGTGAACGCGGTGGAGAGGTGCAGGTACAAAACCCATCATGATACCTCTTACGATGGTACTCGCGTCACAGGCAGACTCTTCACTCAAAGGCAGCACAGTGGAAAGGATGAATGACTGGGAGCCACCAGTGTCTCACAACACTGACTGGATTCCTGTGAGTGAGACAAATACAGGGAAAGTTAAAGGTTTGAAACATTCATCAGGCACTTTTTGAACGGTGGACGGTGAACAACTGGAGGACACCGTTTTAACTAACCCCACACCCTTGGGCTGCTTTGAAATTGCAGCCTGCTGCTTATGCTTCCACTCAGTGCAGTCGGCAATTAGAAGGTCAGGTTCATGACAAAAAAACATTGTTTATCTGCCTTAGGACCAGAGAAAGATATAGCAGCTATTACGCTATTTAAATATACAGTCCTATTTACATCAACAGTCCGCTCAGGCACACAGTTTTTAAACTCCTCCAACAACATCAGCTCACGTATAGAAACAAAGTCATCTGCCTTACAAGCTGAACAGCAGCAGTCAAACAGGATCCCTTTCTCCCTGGCAAAGTCAGCGTACGTCTGGCCTGCTGTCTTTCTAAGGCTGTGAAAACGCTGTCTATATGCCTCAGGCACCAGCTCATATACCCGCAGTATCGCACTCTTTACTAGGGATGTAACGATTCGATACGGTTCACCATATTTTGTTCACGATACGATTTTCTCACGATTTTTTTGTTTAATCAAAATGAGCTGCAGACAAATTATGACCAAATAAAATTCTTTTATTCGTAGGAAAAACATCTTAGAGGTGCTTTCTTTACAGAAACTCTGTAAAACAGTTTGTGTCCTCTTATAAAACATGGTCATCTTAAACAAGAAAATACATGAAAAATATCTCCTTTCTTTAGAAACAATCTCACAAGTAAACTGGTGTTAACTGGTGTAATTCAATATCTTAAATAACAAAAGAATATAAAATGTAGTTATTCCCTTAAATAATAAAGAATAACTGGATTCTTTTAGGAGATGCAGCCTCTCGTCAGGGTGGTTTGCCCCCTCGGCAGTTTTCGCTCAGGAGGTGGCGTAACGTTACTTTGCTTCTCACTGTGATGGCGGCTAATATGCTGCTGCATGTTGCTGGTGTTGGCGGTATATGTTAGCAGTCTCTTGCAATATTTACATGCTGTTTTGGTTTTGTCTGTCCATTTCTCACCGGTTGTATTTGTGTATATGGGGAATCCAAAATGCCGCCACACAGGTGATTTATAACCGCTCGGTGCATCCTCTATTTCAAAGTTGTTGCCTACCGTAAAAAAGAACATATCCTACGTCTCTCGCATCCGTGATTCATTTTTTCTGTCAACCGGTGCGAATCGTCACATTTGTACCGATTTTTACTCGTGTCACGATACATCCTTACATCCCTAATCCTAACTGCCATGTGTGTTTGGAGTTTCCATTTTCTAAACTTGTACATTGTAAACCTTCTTCAGCTCTGAACAGATTATTAAACACTGAATGATTTCAAGCAGGAACATTGTCTTCTAAACTCACATCTTTTATTCTTTATTCAGATTGTGGGACTGCAGGTTGTCAGAGATCAGCTGTGATTATCTGGTCTCAGCTCTGAAGTCCAACCCCTCCCATCTGAGAGAGCTGGACCTGAGGTACAACAATCTGCAGGATTCAGGAGTGAAGCTGCTGTGTGGTTTTCTGGAGAGTCCACACTGTAGACTGGAGACTCTGAGGTCAGTAGAGGGTTGGAGTCAGTCCATGCTGGTAACAACTCGTTTGTTCCACTATAACAATAAGTCACAGTACAGGAAAAAGTTCACAGACTCATATTTACCTCTTGTTGATCACAAAAGTTCAAACCCTTAGGATAACTAATCAGCTTCTGCCTTTCTCCACAAACACCAGAGCTAGCAGGGTACGACTAAGTACTCTCTACCTGAGAATGTAATTTGGTTGGCTGTTTAATCCAGAACAGTCCAATTACAATAAAGAAACACAAAGATTGACATATCATGCATGAACCAGGTTAGGCTGTAAGGCTGAATACAGTGTGTAATACAGATACATATAAAACAAACTATGTTAATCTACATGAACTTCATCCTTTGACCTCTGAACTGTAGAGATTATACATCTTATATTTAAACACATATTTAACCTTCCATTTACATTTGAAACAGTATTTATATCCATGTTTTTAACCATATTTATACATGTTAAACCTCTCTTTTTAAACTATTTACTGTCTGATGACTACATGAATTATCCACATCTTGAAGTCTAAAAGTATTTTATCCAGGGCTACATTTAATTAACAACTGAACCTAATTTATGTTCATACATAATGTTGGTTCTCAATAAAACAGGTTTTTCTGATCAGAAGATTATATCCAACATCTCAGATTTAAATCCAAATCAGGTCCATTAATATTATCCTTTGAATGGAAAATTAGGTCTAAATAGTATTTCCTTTAGATGGAAAAGAAACAGCCAGGATTCATCCAAGTAGGCAGTAGAAGTAGAGCTTTATTCCCTTTGCAGAAGATTAAAACCTGAGTCATCCATGGAAAGACTGAATTTTCATGTCAGAACATCACCTTTTATACACTTATAAGTCCCGCCCAACTGTCAGTTTTTTTGATCCATGACATAATGGTGTCCATCCCCCTGGAAATGTCTGGAAAATTCCACCAACCTGGGACTGTCCCCTCTACTGTCTTGTCTACATCACCCTCAGCTCCTCTGCACCTGTGGCCTGAGCACTTGTTATCACACAGTCAGTCCTTCTGCACATGCGCTAGTCTTACTACAGATCCTGCAGGACTCAGGGCCTGTTGTGCCTTGTGCTGGGCTTGAGCACTTCTTATCATTAACCTTGCTGGCTTCCTGGCCTTTGGCAGTATGCCTAGACCTTTTCTTTTTGCTCTTCTTTCTCACACCATTATGTCATAGACGTCTTTTACTGTATTTTTAAATCTTTATAAACCTTATAAAATGACAAAAAGCTTGTGTTACAATCATTCACATGTTTTTTGGTACTAACATTACTTATTTCTTGCTACAACTACACATTCAATATTCTTCTCTACTTTAAATCAAACCATTAAATCAAACTTTTACTAAAACAATGGTGCTCTCTACTTCATTAACAGTTTTGTGTGCTCACATAAAATCAACCTTACTTAAATCATATTAACCATAAAATCAACTCTACTTGAATACAGTGCTCATTACTTGATTTTTCTGTGTGTGATTAAAATATAGTGCTTATACCATTATTTTGTGTGATTACTGTGTGATTACTAGAATTTTTAGCATATAATAGTCATCAGCATGCATTAGATTTTATACTACAATAACTTACATCCATAAAGTTGTAAAGTTGCTTTTGTTCATATTTTAATGTTTGTTGAACTAAATTTAGTCTGCAGTCACAAAGACTTGTGTTTGTTAAAGAAACTGTAGAAAATGTCCACTGTTAGTTGTTAAAGTAAATGAATGTTTATAATTGTTGGTAAATGGTCACATGTGACAAAATGATAAATATAATAAATAAATCAATAATCTGTATTTCAACAATCAGACAATAACAAATATATTCAGTATTTGCTGTTTCCAACATTGTTATGAAGCTATATGATGTTTATATTGACTGAATAGTTTAAACTGAAGATGCTTTGATTTTATGACTCCACTATTCCTAAAAGAAATATTGTAGATGTCTTTTGTTCACATTTTATAAACTTGTAAATTCTAAACCTTCTTCAGCTCTGAACAGATTATTAAACACTGAATGATTTCAAACAGGAACATTGTCTTCTAAACTTACATCTTTTATTCTTTATTCAGATTGAGTTACTGCAGGTTGTCAGAGATCAGCTGTGATTATCTGGTCTCAGCTCTGAAGTCCAACCCCTCCCATCTGAGAGAGCTGGACCTGACTGACAACAATCTGCAGGATTCAGGAGTGAAGCTGCTGTCTGATCTTGTGGAGAGTCCACACTGTAGACTGGAGACTCTGAGGTCAGTAGAGGGTTGGAATCAGTCCATGCTGGTTTCAGCAGTATTGTACTAAACACAGTTAGTATCAAAGCAAAGATCCAGTATTTGCTGCTTTCCTCAGTGAAGCTGTGAGAGGAGGATGGTGACAGACTTCAGGGTTGGACAGAAAGACAGAGAGAGACTGTAAACACTGATTTATGACTTCTGTTGTCTGTCTTCTTCTCTCATCAGATGGAAGTGATCTCAGTCAGAGTGTGAGTGGTGAGGAAGGAGGTTGTGTTGGAGGATCAGCTGTGTCCTGATGATCCAGAGAGGTTGAAGCAGCAGCATCAGCTCTGACTGGGCCATGTTACTGGGAGGTAGAGTGGAGAGGAGAGCTTCATCCAGCAGTGACTGACAGAGGAATCACAACCAGTGGAGATGACTCTCAGTGCTGCAGTCTGAACTGCTCTGAGATCAGCTCCACTGTCAGACACAATGTCAAGTCCACCATCATCCCTGTGTGTTCCTCTGGATGTGACAGAGTATCATCAGTGTATCTGGACTGCTCTGCTGCTGCTCTGTCCTTCTACACCAGGGGTGTCAAACTCATTCTGGTCTGGGGGCCGCATACAACTTAATCGGATCTCAAGGGGGCCAGACCAGTAAACTCATTCCCAAATTACATGGAACTATCAATAAGTCCACTTTTTTCTTTGTATTAGTGCAAAGAAGAAGAAGTAAATAATAAAAATCTTTATATGCAATGAATTGTCCTTTTACTAAATATATTATGAACAACCTAAGAGTTGCTTGTATTGTGTTTTATGATTCATTAAAGCTGCAGTAGGTAACATTTATAAAAAATAACCTTCTGTCATATTTGCTGAAGCTTTCACTTTATCCTGACAGTAGAACATGAGACAGACCATCTGTGAAACAATCAGGTTCCTCTGGCTCCTCCTAAAATGCAATGAAATGTCCAAAAATCACCCCCTCCATTTGCGGCTTGTACTTTCTCTCTGAACTTTGTCACAACACCTGCCTTTTTCCCGATCATTGACGGCGCACCATCAGTAGCCAGGCTTACGGCGCGGGACCAGTCCGCCCCGACTCTGTCCAGCGCTCCAACGACGGAGCGGAAAATGTCCTCAGCTGTTGTGGTGTCGGTCATAGGCACCAACTCGAGAAACTCCTCTGTGACAGTCAAAGTTTCGTCAACTCCACGAATGAATATGGCCAGTTGAGCGACGTCTGTAATATCAGTACTCTCATCAATTGCAACAGAAAATGCCAGAAATGACTCCGATTTGCGTTTTAGTTGGCTGTCCAAATCCCAAAACCCTGTCTGCCACGGTATTTCTCGTCAAGCTAATATTGGCAAAAGCTTGTCGCTTCTCAGGACACACAATTTCGGCAGCCTTCAGCATCAGTGGCGGCTGGTGAAAAATATTGTCGGTGGGGCTGTGCCATACTTTTTTGTTTCTGTAACCATCGCAATACAATTTAACATAAACTGCAGAACACCAGTGCTCAGTGAAATAGTCAGTAGGGCTGGGTATCATTTAAAAATGTTCGATACCAGTACTGATACCAGTACCGATACCAGTACCCTTAACACGATACCGATACCAATTGAGTACTTCATTCGATACTTTTTTTTAACTTTGTAAATGTCACTACTCCTCCCCATTCAAAATATTTTTACACGAATACATTTTGAAAGTGCTCAAATATTTATTTAATAACTGTACAAACATGTACAACGAAGAATTATATATATATTACATATTACCTGGAGTTATCGACGGTTGCTCCGTGTTAGGGTGGCCATTTCCTTCACATCAAAAAGGAGGACACTTTGCATACACGGGGACACACAAGCAGATATTTGTGATATACAGTCATATCTTAAATTAGCGATTGGCTTAACTGCTACATAGACCCGCCTCCTGGGGGCGCTTTCTCTATCGGCTAGAGCTGATGAGGCTTCAGACAGGCAGAGGAAAGGTTGTGAATATGATTTTATATCATATTTTACACATATTACTGGGTGCATTCCATATTGCAAACACACAAATATTGACATACTGATATTTTTATCATTATTATTATTTTTAATTTTTTTATTTATTTTAATTTTTTATTTATTTTTTATTTTTGTGGCTCAAGGGGGGCGGCGCCCTAGCGCCCTCTATTGGCCAGCCGCCACTGTACAGTTTTTGATGAACTCCCTCTCACAGTATGGCTTTGAGGCTAATGCTATTTGGCTTGCAATTACGTAGCTGGCTTTCACCGCAGCATCACTGACCTCTCGGCTCAGGCTGAAAACAGATTGCTGTTTCCTCAGACCCGCCAACAATTCAATTTGTATTTTTCACCATGCTGAGTTTCATAGTGGCGCCGAATATTGTATTCCTTAAGCACCGAAACTTGCTGCATGCACACCAGGCACACGGGTTTCCCATTCACCTCCGTGAACATATAGGAAGAGGTCCATTTTTCTTGAAAAATCAGACACTCTGTCTCCACTTTTCTCTTTTTTGACAAAGACATTTCACTGAAGAGGGTGCCAGGGTCAACAGAAAAAGCGGGTAAAGCGATAGAACTGACTAAAACACAGCGCCACTAGCGGACAATACAGGAACTGCAGATTTTAAAGAAAATTAAGTTTATTCTTATTTTTTTCAATAATGCAGATTTATCCCGTGGGCCGGACTGAACCCCCTGGCGGGCCGGTTCCGGCCCGCGG